GATCAGAACGGCAACGACGACCTCCTCTTCCCCTGCCTCCTGTACTTCCTCCTTCCCCAATCTCTCTATCTGAGCTTAATCTTCCTGTAATGGAGTAATTTGAGTGATTCGTGAGTGGGTTCTTAGAGCAACTCCAACGGGCCGACCCAAACGGACGTCACATTTGTCCGCTTATTGTCTGTTTGGGTCGGCCGCCCGCCCGGTGTCCGCCCAGTTTTGCATTTGGGTCGGCAGTGCGCCCAACGCGCCGACCCATTTCATGTCCGCATTCAAATTTAAAAAAAAGGCCCGCGGGCGATCATGCCAACGGCCATGTCTCATGCCGGCACCATGCCAGCACCGACATACAATGCTGGCTTCAAAAAATATCACCACAGTTCATGCTGGCGCACTCGCCAGCCGGCCGGCACACATGCCAGCACACAATAAAAGGGTGGGACTTGAGTTCGACCACGCCATCGCGGCTCCCGTGGTCATGCCGGCACACCTGCCAACATACAAAAAAGATGGTGCTCGCCGCCATAGATCACTCGTCGTCGAACTTGAGCATGTCGGCCTGCATCTTCTCGAACCACAGCCTCTTCCTTGGCGACACGGTGTTGATATCCACCTTCATGATCTCCACCCCGGTCATCATGCTCGCAGGAGCCACTTCTTTCGCCTTGGTCTTGGCGTTGGCGGCCTCGATCTCTAGCATCTTGGCTTGCTTCTTCGCCTCTAACTCAAACATCTTGGCTTGCTTCTCAGCGTCCAGCTCAAGCCTTCTCCTTTGGATCTCCATGAAAGCATCCATTTTCTCTGCCTTGAAACGTCGGCGCTCCTCCTCCCTTAAGTCCTTATTATTCATCATGTCGTCCACGCTTGCGATCAAAGTGTTGGTGGCCGCATCTCGCTTGTCCTCCTTCTTGGAGTTGGTCTTCCCCCGCGGCCGTGCCGTCTCGCCCTCCCCAACATCCTTCACGGCTTTCTTCCCCCCACGCGACTTGAGTGCGGCATATTGCGCCTTGAACTTCTCCTCGTCCTTGATGACCCGATAGCAATGGGAGAGGTTGAAGCACTTGCCATTGTGTTGAACCTTGAATGCCTCCAAAGCTTGAAATGCCTAAAAAATGTTTCCATGCAAGCATATGGGCAAGTGATATGCAAATGAACATGCAAAGGATGAACTTGATGACACAAAAGAGGGCGGCGAGCTAGCATACCATGTCTTTCATGCAGATGCCCCTCACGGGGCGGGCCTTGACGCTCTCAAGAGTGGCGCAAAACTTGTTGCACTCTTGTTGGATCACCCTCCACCGCTTGGAAATGGAGACCCACCCGTGTGTGCTCACAAATTGGTAAGGTGGAAACTTCTTGCGCTCATGAAACTCTCGGTGGAAACGAATACAAAAGGTTGAATGCTTTTGCTCGGCGCCCGTCTTGGGGTCTTGCCCAATGTCTCGCCAACACTCGCAAAGAAGCTTGTCCTTGGCCGCCGTGTACGCCTTCGTGCGCTTGCTCTTGCGCTTCGGCTTATGACCGGCGGCTTGGTTGGCGAGCTCGTCCTCGAACAAAGGCTCCACTTCGATGTCGCACTCGTCCTTTTCCTCTAGCCCGTAGTCGTCCGGGAACTCGTGGTCGAGGGGGAAGCCGTCCAGGTCAATGCCGACCTGATCACACATGAAGGCCTCCTCGTCGGAATCATAGCCAGCGGCCGGCGTGAACGCCCCGCGGCCGTCCTGGCTTTGCGTCTCGTCGGGATCGTAGCCAGCGGCCGGCGCACCGCCCTCGAAGATGAGGTTCTGCATGTAGTCCTCGTCGACGGCGGACGACATTTCCTCGAACAGGTTGCGGGCGTCCGGGAGCACGCCGGCCAGCGTCTGCCACACGCGTTTCCTCGCGCCGCCGGATGATGAGCCACCGACCACCGGGATGGCGTTGAGGTCGATGGAGAGCGCTCCCCGGAGAGGCGGGAGGCCTGCGGGTAGATGTGGAAGTCGGAGATCGGGTTGCAAGCCGACGCGCGGGGCGAGTCAGGCAGCACCATCCGAGGAAACGCCGACGAGCCGGTGCTGGCCGCGGCGACGACGGCTTGGACGAGGCTGTGTTGGCTAGTGTTTAACCCTAGCATGTAGAGCGCCTCCCTCGTTGCCGCCGCGACGCGGGCGCTGGGGACCTCCTACTGCGCGGCGGAGACGACTGCGGCCTGCGCGGCGGCCTCATCCCTCGCGTCCGCGGCATGCCTCCAGCCCTTCCTCTTGGCCGACTCGCATGCCCGTTGTTCGGGCGTCAGCGCCTTATTTGGCTTCCTCGGGGCTGCGGCGGCTGTCTTGCGCGGGGCACGAGGCTTGCTTTTCCCGGCGGGGGCGGCGGCGCCGGACGAGGCGAAGGAGGCGAGGCCGGCGATGGCGTCCATGGCTGGTTGTGGCGGGAGCGAGCGCGCGCGGGGCGGGAGTATTTTTGGAGAAAATGGGGGAAATGCTGGTGACTGCCACCGACCAGCGGGCCCGGGGAGAGGAGTAGGCGCGCGCGCGTCCGTGTCGTGTCCGCGCCGACGCAAATCCGGCTCAAAAATGGATCGGAAATGGGTCGCCATGCGGACGCCAAAAGGACACGCGTCCGTTTGGGTCGACACGTTGGGCCGCCTTTTCTGTCCGCGCCGACCTAAACGGACGGCCGCAGACAAAATGGGTCACCCCGTTGAAGTTGATCTTAACACATGGTTGGCTCTTCCTCAGCTGAGATGCAGATGGATGGAAAACAATCTGACCGAAGATCCGGGTCACGAAGAGAGTTTGATCTATCCGCCCAACTTTCGCCAGGTCATCGATCCGCTCCGAAGCTCACCAGGGCCGTCCATCATAAACAGCAACGAGCGGCTGATATCCGTCGATCAACCACCCGACGTCACCGATCCGCGGCACCAACCCGTCCTCCAATCAGAGCGCACCTCCTCCTCTCCATAAATAAAGCCGCCGCACCATCCCCATCTCATCACCAACCACCAATCCATTCCCCACCAGCACCTTCCGGCGAACCACCGCACCTCTCCCCGGCGAAGCAGCAGCGTCCGATGGCCCCCAAGGCGGAGAAGAAGCCGGCTGCCGCGGAGAAGACTCCGGCGGCCGAGAAGACCACCGCGGGCAAGAAGCCCAAGGCCGAGAAGCGGCCGCCCAAGTCCAAGGAGGGCGGCGCCGACAAGAAGAAGAAGAAGGCCAAGAAGAGCGTGGAGACGTACAAGATCTACATCTTCAAGGTGCTGAAGCAGGTGCACCCGGACATCGGTATCTCCTCCAAGGCCATGTCCATCATGAACTCCTTCATCAACGACATCTTCGAGAAGCTCGCCGGCGAGTCCGCCAAGCTCGCCCGCTACAACAAGAAGCCCACCATCACCTCCAGGGAGATCCAGACCTCCGTCCGCCTCGTCCTCCCGGGCGAGCTCGCCAAGCACGCCGTCTCTGAGGGCACCAAGGCCGTCACCAAGTTCACATCCTCTTAGATAGGCTGTTCTCTGTCTTCGTGGTTGATCGATGGTTCTCTGTAATGCTCGTTAGCTGTTCGGACCATGTCGCTGTGTAACTTGTGCTGGTGTTGTGGCAACACACTGTTTCATCATCTCGTGAATCAGTAACTTTGCTTATTTATTCTGGCCATCATGTTCTTGTGCTCGTTGTCTGAGTAGTTCTTGCTATGATCCTGTTTCGTTCATCTTGGTTTGGTCTGCTATGCAACCTTTGTTCTGAATTATGAACTGCAAATCTCTGTAGACAACGACAGTGAACTTGCAGAGATGTTTCTCTGTTCTATTTCTTGGTTGTCTGCAGACAACGGCACTGAACTTTCAGAGATGTTTCTCTGAACCTTGGGGATCCAGCTTGTTGGTCGAACTGAAAATTACTGGCACTCTAGGGTTCATAGTAATTTAAAATCGTTGGCACGACGACATGATCTTTCGGTTTGGAACCCCGGCCCAATTCGATAGTTTGGGTTTGCAAAACGGCACCAACTTGGCGGGCTAGATGCAATTTGTAGGTGTCTGGTTTCCTGTACGAGAGATCGGGGCAGGGCAGAAAGTTGTGGGATACAAAACAAGCATAAACCAAGGAGGAAAAATGACCATATTTCTTGAAATAATGTACATTTTTCAAGTATGGGTTTACAAAAGAAACTGTCAAAACCTGCAAGTGTGAGTTTATTCCTTTCTTCGAGTTAACTACGAGTTTATTCAACTCTGAATATTACTTGTGAGTTGCATTGGTGTAAAAATCATATTTGCAAACCAGAGTTTAGGCCACAAAATGTTTGCAGAAAACATTTAGTTGCATATAGGACGTGTCCCTCTTTGTTCCTAGCATTGTTGTATCATAATATTTCTTTCATTCACGGCCTCCTTGGAATCTAGGGAAAGAAAAGTTGGTAGAACAGACACAACGAAAATGGCGATATAGCCCTCAAAAAACAGAAATGGCGATACACAATGAGATGGCGCGGCGGTGATACAAAAACAGATGCTACAAACTGTATCCAGAAGGCCAGAACATACAGAGAATCACTACGCATCTGAGCCATCCCATAGGAATTCAAGAAGCTTGTTCATTTGTTCAAAGAGGGCCACATAGGAAATTTTCCTGTAGGGTTCTAGTCCTTCCGACATTCCTCCAAAATCCTTCACCAGAGATGATCATGGTATTGCTATAGCAGTTTTACATCCAGTTCCTGCACATTCCCCATCTCTGCATTTCCCCTGCTTTCGGCGTCAAGTTTCTGTTCACTAAATACCCAATGTTCTGTCTAAGACATTCCATTTGGAAAGCATGATGTTTTCCTTGAATGAATGTGACCACCACCTATTAATCATTTACATAGTTACATGATACGCTGGCAAGGATCAACAGCTATACTTCTCCCGGAAATCTGTGACATACGATGTGCTCTGCATTATGCCAAAAGAAGTCCCATCCCAAAAATTTCCGAGCGGCGACTTTGCCAATGAGATCTGTGAATCATCGAACTGTCTGTTACTCTGATTCCTCACGAGAAGCATTCACGATGCTAGTTATGTCCTGGACAACTGCAGACACCGGTGGCCTGAATTCTGGCTCCCTCTGCATCATGAAAGTTTCTTATCAGATATGTTTTATGCCTTTGATTCATAAGGTTCTTGTGCAAAAAGTGGCAAGCATCACCTATAGTATGCTTAGGAAATTGCATCCTGGCACTATCATCAGAACAAAAATGAATTACCTGGATACAGCGGCTGATTATGTCAGCAAACCGCGACAATGCTTTCTCGGAGCACTGCCCTCGAATAGAAGGGTCCACCATCTTGGAAAGGGATTCAATGTCATGGAGCTGACAACCGGCCCATCTAACAAGATGCTGTTCATGGCGTGGGCGTGAACTGTATAATTTTTCGGTTTTCACAACAGACATGCAGGTGAGTCAGAGAGTTGTTTTCTTATGCCATGCAGAAAGAAAATAATGAATCTGAAACAAACAAGGTAAGTTCGTTGTGAAGCCAAGCATGAGAGTTCAAATCTCTTACCTATCGTATGGTTTACGCCCGGTAAGAAGTTCTAGCATCACTACTCCAAAACTGTAAACATCGCCTCGTTCTGAAATGATCCCAGATTCCTGGAATTCAGGCGCATCATAGTTCAGTAATGTGCGCAACCGACCTGACAGCTGCAATAAAAAGAAACATCCGTGAGCACATAACAAAGATGAGTCTGTCAATGCATGGGCGAATTAAATAGGCTAAGGCTAAGTATACTCATTTGTGGTCAAAATATAGGATATAAAGCATCAACAGCTACTGAAGTCAGTAACTAATTAAATCCTTCTAGCGAATGGTCCATAAAGCTTTTCTAACAAGTTTAATCTACTCATTTTACAGGTTGATACTCTAGTGGAATACACCGGGAAAGAAACAGTAGGCCCTGTTTGGATTGGATGTAAATTTTGTGTCATGCGCGGTATTCAGTTCAAACTTCAGCTAAATACCGGGGAGCTCACTAATTTTACACTTAATCCAAGTGGGGCCTTAACAGGAAAGACAATCTATTATCCCCATTACCAGATTACTAGTTTTAAGACTTCGAAGGGTGAAGGTATACACCAAAAACCTTTCATTTTCAGTACAGTGCACTGATTTACTGATACTAAAAGACTATTAACAAATTATTACAGTCTATTAGAAAGCTAAAGGAAGACAGAAATGCCGTATCATGCAATACACAACCACATTAGCAAAGCTGATTATCAACATCTGACGTTGATACAGATTTTCTTAGAATGAACTAGTGCATGTTGGTACATCACTATTAACAGATATGCTTCACATACTATACTAACTTTGGGCTGTATCACAGTTTTGAGACATAGCAGCATCAGCCCTTAAAGTAAGAGGGACCTGAACTTGCCCCATTTTTATGTGCTTAGAACATGCAATATCTATAACACATATTACAGCTTACCTGAGTGACAGAACTTGAGGGCATCAGCTCTGCTAGTCCACATTCAGCAACACACACTGACAACTTATCATCTAGGAGAACATTAGCTGGTTCAAAATTCTGATGCACGATCGGTGGTTGGAAGCTTTCATGGAGATACCTGCAGGGAAAGAGTAATTCAGAGTATAAATCTCCACACATGTTAAGAGAGGCAGATATGGAGTGCATAAAAGATAAAAAAATAATTTGGCTTACTCTAAGGCTTTTCCGGAGCTAAGAGCAACCTGGAGACGAGCATTCCATGATAGCTCAATGTCGATTTCCTCTCTATCATGAAGTGCATCATCTAGTGTTTTTCTGCTGAAGTGATTGTATACAAGTAATCGCTGTCCATATTCAGCACAGTATCCAACTAACTCAAGGGTGTTGGGATGCTTGATCTCTGAGATAAGCGCAACCAATTCTAGAAAGTCATCCACTGACACTCTTCCGTTAGGATTGTCAATCTTCATAACTTCCAATAACTACAAAGAATAGAATAAATCAGGCATAATGTTTGAACTGCACGATGAATCGCGAGTTGCATTGTACATTGATACAAGTAGTACTTCATACCTTGCCTTCAGGAAGCTCAGCTAGGAATACCTTTCCTAATCTACTCTCTCTTATCACGTTCTGCTCTCTGAAATTGCTTGTATATTGCTGAAGAGATGCAACAGAGTAGGGTGTGGCAGAAGTTGGGGTACTTGTCCTTGGTGGAGGGCTATATCTCTTTTCTGGAGTAACAATGGGCTTGGGCTGTACAACAACTTTTTCAGGAGGGGGTGGTGGAGGTGGAGGGGGTGCAACTGCAAAAAGTTCCGAGTCTGTTCGATCCAAATTAATTATGTGCTCCTTTCGGTTTTCAGCAGGCTTCTTTGGGAGAGCTGCAAGCAATAGCACAGAACTTAGACATTTTAACTTGGTGAACATCATGACAAAATTAGACCGTCCTTGCCCAAGGGCTTCATACCTGCTGCTGCCAAACTTGACTCGCGGCTTCTCTTGTCAAGGGCCTCACCTGGACCTATCAAATAAATTATTTTCAATTAATACAGAAAAAATAAATCTAGAACACCCTGTTCTACCGGTATATGCACAGAAGTTAACCTTTTTTAGTATCATCCTTTTTTTGCACTGAAGCCGGCATAATTTGGGGTTCAACCCTATGATGCACCCTTCCCAGCTGACTTCTGTTATAATCATATCTTGACCGTCTCTCTTGGTACTTGGACAAACAAAAGATTACCAGCAGGGCTATAGATATTAATAGCACTACTACAAGAAGAACAAATCCGGCAATCTTGAGCTTTTTTGACGAATTATGTTTCTGAGATGACGAGGTGCTATCTCGAGTAGTTGATCCATCAGAAGAGTTTGAGGGCGGAGGGGATTTTGAAGGGGGCGATGGAGGTGACGGTGCTCTTGTTGGACTTAGATCTGTAGGCGTTGTTGTTGGTGTTGGGGCTTGTTTTGGTCCTGCTGGTGTTGGAGTTGGTGCTGGTCCTATTGATGAAGGCGGTGACGCTGAAGGCGGTGATGCTGACGGGGCTATAGTCGTATTAAATGGATTACCATCCTTTCTGCACTGGAATTATGTCAGTCGCTTAACAAGTCACACAAAATCAGTGCGATTAAATATCTAGATTGTCAATAGATGAAATAATGTCAACATTAGACAATGTGATAAGCTGATAGCTATTGCAACTAGGCTGGCACTAAGAAATAGATAAATAAAAGAATGAAGAGGCTTTCTCACTTGAAGGTCGGTATGTTCTCTAGTTTCGGAGGTACTGGTCCAGAAAACAAATTGTTCTCTACATTCCTGTTCAGAGTAAGGAAATTGATAAGTAACAAAGAGAACCATGTAATATCTGGAGTAACATCTTTACCACTAGAACAGCAAATGGGTTAAACTTTATACTTTGGTAATTTCATCAATAGCATTGTTCTCTTCTATCAATTCAAACCAAGCAAATATATAGTGTTTCCAAAGAAAAGTTCAGAAGCAAAGCAAGTGCCTGTTGGGAAATTAATTGCTGATGTGGTGCCCGTTTAACAAAAACAGCAGTAAAATGGAAAGATGCTTTGGCTTCTCGAAAGAAGTAACCATAGTCACAACGGGAAAGCATTGCCTCCAGAAATAAATGAAAGCCAGAGGACAGAAGTGCTTCCTACTAGGAATAGTGTTTTAACTCCTTAATATATTGTGCAAAACATTCAAAAAGCATAAGCTTTTGTGTGTCGGCCACCATGATCTTATAGACTTTTCCTCTGAAGACAAATGTTGTGCAACTGATGGCTTAACGGTTTTGTAAGTAACTAACTATCTAAGGCTCTGAGCGTCAATCAATGCAGAGGCCGGGGGCATGGCTCTTTTTCGAAGAAAAAGTAAGTAACTCACTAAGCACATAATAATATAAATATCAAATGCCTTCTATTCAATTTGCTAAGATAACTGAAAGAGGATGATATAAGGAAGAAGACATTGAGGGATTACAGGTCTTTGATGGGGAGATCCTGCAAGTTGTCAAGGGTCCCTGACAGTTGATTGTTTTGTATGCGCCTATCATATAACAGTTAACAAAATAAGGAAACATAAATGATCTTGGAAAATAGGAACATCAAAGGTAAGATGTAAACTCACAATGTAGTCAAAGATGACAGGTTTTTCATTGAAGGTGGTAACACACCAGTAAAGTTGTTCTCAGAAATATCCCTGTAACGAAGCTTGGATGCTATCAGCAAGCAATTAATACATCATCCTGGTCAACACCTATAAAAGTGTATGAAATGGGATACATCTTACAGATTTATAAGTCCAGCAAGTGAATCGAAAGCATCTGGCAGTTCTCCATCTAGATGGTTGACATTGAGTGACCTGGGAAAATAAGGGTATTAAGAAATGCACTTAACAAAACAAACTAGCATGAGTACAGATTCGCTGAGAAAAAATAGAAGTGGAGTCTTACATGGCTGATAAACCTGTAAGTTTGGACAATGAACTGGGAATACTTCCAGTGAGCTGATTAGCAGAGAGGAAACTGCAGCAACAAGGAGTAAAGATTGTACCATCAGATGGATTATGTCTCAAAGACTAAAAGAGTTGCAGAGGAGATCAAAAACACGTACAGATTCTGCAGTGTGAGAGGTAGGTCTTCTGGTATAGTTCCACCAATATTATTGTTACTAAGATCTCTACAGGAACAGGTAGATTTAAATCAGCAAAAGACTTTATCTGGATACAGAAAACATAAATTAAACCAGCGGAAGAAGCCGTAGAAAATATCAGTGTTTTTTTACTGTGGCGACAATGGCGAAACAGGTTCCCTAAGCCGTAAAAAATATCGATATAAAAACATAAATTAAACCAATAAATTTCAACAAAGAATAAATTTACTGCGTTAGCACCCTTACATGGTGGTGATTGAAGTGAAGTTCCCTAAGCTGCTCAGCTGCCCTCCAAGGTTTGCGACATTCATCTTTCTGGAAAATGGTAATTTCATAACTAGTCCAAAACAAACGAATCAACGAAACGAAAGAGAGCCCAACGAAGAGCCTGACATACATTTTGGTTATGCCTGTGCCGGTGCAGGTAACTCCCTGCCAACCCTCGCCGCAGGGGTCTCCGCCGTTTGGAATCCACCCGGGAAGGCTTGGCGATCCGAGTGAAACGTACAGCCCATTCATAGCAGTAACTACACACCATGAAAAGGATACAAAGAAGAAGCCATGAGCATTATTAATAAGTGGAACCCATACAAATCCCCATGCCGCCAACTTTTGCATCACAGCACACATGAGCTGAAGGCAGCGAGCGATTTTTAAAGAACATGAATGCACTTGCAAAAGCCACCGTGGGGGGTACTGTTCCCCACCCACATTTATACTAAACAGAGTAATGAAAAAAAAGCTAAAGAGAATCAACACGTGTTACTTGGATCAGTTTTTCTTCCTACAACAATCCAGTCTCATCCCCCATCCCCTCAACCCCCCGTTTATGGCCACTATTTTGCAGAAGATTCATCGATATGGCAATTACCGCGATTAAGACTGAAATACGCGTTGTGGTGCCACTTAAAAGAAAATTCCAATCTACCATTGCTTTCCCCGGCCCTGCATGGCATCAACTTCACCTTCCACCGATCCGGCGAGCGACCAACATATCTCTCTTTATCCCGTTGCTGTCGAGGACGATGGGGCACAGTTGAGCAGAGGACACCACGTTACTACTGCAGGCCTCACAAGTTGCTCTCGTTATCCCTGCCGAAAGGGACGGCCCGGTCGCTGGAAAGCCAGTAAAAACATCAACCGATCCGAATTACACATGTCGCGGTCGATCGCCTCGCGCTCGCCAATTCTGCGTTGCCGCATCCGAGACACAAAAAACATGGTGGCAATCTCATGAACCCCGCCGCGGAATTCACCACCGGAGTCGACTTGTTCCAAAAAAAAAAAAAACCCATCGGAGTCGAAGCTGTAGACCTATCCGGAAAGCCGGAGGGTCACTTGGGGTCCCCCGTCGGCGCGCTAGCTGTCACCACGTTCGTGCTCCCTCAAAAAAAAAAAAAGTAACCACGTTCGTACGCGAGCGCCGCCCGCAGCC